ATCGCGAACGATCCGAAAGTGGGGCTCTCCCCGAAAAAGGGAATAGAAAGCGGGGAAAATGTCGGATGAGAATACAGAGCGGGGAACATCCACGTGTATAAACTTGGATGTTGGTTGTGTTAAACGTAAAATGTAAATTTTCACATTTTTCTCCTGGAATGATTCTCGTTACCGATACACGCCCGCGTGTATCGAAATAAAGCGTGTGCCGCTAATGAACGCGGGAATTGGAAGCATTGTAGAGAATCTGTTGCACGACGCCTGGGAACACACTTTCTTTTTTCTCGTTTGGCGAAAAAGAAGCGACACGACTTCTTCGATCCTTTCCCCCGTTCCACGGTTTTCCGTCTCTCCCTCTCGCAAACGAACCTCTAATTGAAGTATTTCAATTAAGCAGATCAACCGGCCATTGTGCCTCTCGAGTTCGACTCGGCTCGGCTCGATTCGATGAATTTTCCCTCGACATCTCTTCGGTGCCTGGGAAAGTCGTCCTTGATGCGATTAATTGCAGAAAGCGGATTTCTCTCTCTCTCTCTCTCTCTCTCTCTCTTTCTTTTCCCGAGAATGCCAGCAGAAATACCAGCGGCAAGTTTCTTCGTTAACTCTCAATTGATGGAATCTCTCGCGTTGCACATTTTTCGATCGCGTTGTGTCCCGGTGTCGATCTTGGAAGAAGTTTCTCAATGTCGATTCGTAATATCCCTCGCCAAGGGCAATACCAAACGAAACTTCGACTTCCTGCTCTGTCGCAGTGCAGACTAGGTAACAGTTCTCTAATCGGTTCGCATCTTTCGTTAATAGAGAAGCAACCGCAGAGACGTGAATTCTCGGCGAAATCTCGTTAATCTAGCTAGAAACAGAGTCAAGGGTCCCATAACTGTGTGTAAGTTATAGCGCGTTACTTGGAACGCACCGGCTATGTATCATATTTTACTAGGGACGAGCTGTTGCAACGACAACGATATATTTAAAAAAGGAAATCCGCCAACAGTTTGCACGGGAATTACCTGGAGAGGCCTTAGACAGGGTAGAAGAAGAGTTACGTTCGAGAGGTAGGTACTCGGTTTTTAAAGGCGTTACGGAATAGGTTCTGGGAATCGCGCGGGTTTGTTCTTCTGGCGAACGCGTAACGATCACAGTCGTCCATTCTGTCGGGGGCTTGAAGCGGCTGAAACTCGGCGTGACTGGTAACGCCGTTCCGCTCTCGCATTATGCCCTCGTTCCGTTCCTAATTACTTGGCTATTGTGCGTGTTTAGCGTAAATCTCCGAGACGGCAGGCGTTGATCCTCCTATCCACGTGTGTTCCACCTTGAATTTCCTTCGCCGTCGTTTCAGACTCTGCAGTAGCATTCTGCGACGGTGATAATACGACTTTATTAGCCGTCGCAGAAGGTAGACAGAACTGCAGTAGGTAGTGTAGAATGAAAGGGAACGCCGGTTAAGTAGCTTGGACGAGATTTCGCTCAACCCTTTCACAGTCTAAGAAAATTACGAATTACGGTTTAACACTTTCGCTGTTTAGCCGAAAAAGATCCCACACTGAAATATACCACACAAGGAGTAGGTACGGCGACTCTTGCTAATATTCGGACACTCTTTGGAACAGTATAACTTTTTCAAAATTGGACTTGACGACTTGAGTGTTTTTGAGAAGTTAGAAGGATTAGTATACTAGATGACGCGTGTAAAATTTTTGGCAAAATTGCAATTTGTGGAAACGCGAAGAAAATTGTAATATAGGGCGAGATGACATTGTTTCCCGAGTCGCGGCTCGAAAAACACGATCCTTCTCGCAGAGGCGAGGTTTGTGGATGAATTCGCGTCTGAGTCACGAGTGATTCACCTCGGTGAGCCAGGGGAACCTGTTGGCAAAGAAATCGCGTATAGTCGATGGAAGAAACGTTTCTATTAGGAGTAAATCAAAACGCACACTTCACGCCGACTGAAATTTCGGTCCCCTGTCGATTCCCTCGTCCGTATGCTCTATGTAAATTTCCAGGCTTGAAGCAATCGTGTCTTCGAAGCGTTTGCAATCACCTCTGGGTGTTGTCAGTCTCGATCGTTCGGAATACTTGGAAAATTTCCATATTTACTATTGTACGACGAGAATGAAAACAACGCCTGGCACGTAGACTTGGTTCCTAGAAATCGGACTCCACACTTCTCGATTCGCGTAATTTTTTTTATTACGTTTATTGTCCTCTACTTGCTAGCTTCAGCCGCGACGTTCACAGTTAACGCGGTTCCCGACTCGTTCGGTCGTGGTACCGGAAATGGTGTTAGATTAGCGCAGTGTCGGTACAGTGAAGTCGTTTCTGTTCTCTTCAATTCCGAATATGCGCGGCATCGATTAACGAGTGTGTTCGATGATCGGCCGATTTTCACTGTATCGGATATTCTTCATCGTCACCCATTTGTATCGCATCGTATTCAGCATTCGGCAACAGTGAACCTTTATCTGCGATTAATAAAGCTGCTATTTCTACGCTATCGTAATCCCTTGATCCGAGAACAAGAATGAGATATCGTGAAAATGAGTTTGCTTCCAGTTGATTTTGCCGGTATCGAGAACGCGAGAGCAAGTCGAGCGTAAGGAAAATTGGAAAGAGGAAAAGGGTGAACTGGGAGGGTAAAACGGCAGGTCAAGAATTGTTTCTCTTTGGTGTCGCGGGCGTCGATGAACAAGGAACAATGCGACGAGGGATTGGATGCTTCGTCGAGCGGAAAACCCGCTGGAAAAACGGTCGAACACACCAGGCGCTGATTGCAGGCTACGTCCTGAGCGACGAAAATTCTTTCTCCGATTAAAGAGAAACTTCTCTGTTGTAACGTTAGAACAAGATCGAGCAATCTTTAAGAATAGTGAAATATCAAAGAAAATTCTCTTTTTCTCCGCAACTGTTTACCCTAAGATATCGAAACTGCCCCATTAAGCGTAACTGGGCCAGCCCGTATCGCTTTGATACATCTTATCGACAATAGGAACTGGCGTGCAACTTCTACGTAATGACTTACCGCCTGGGGCTTCCGTTCCCTCTGTCTCCTGCCTCGCAGAATCGTCGCATTGTTCCCTGAAACTTTCCAGTGATCCTCGCCTTCGTATCGATCTTACCACCGGCACACCACGTATTCATCCGAAAGATTCCGCGATAATTGCTCACGGATAAGGAAGAGCCCTCTCTCTCTCCTGTCCGTTTGTCTTAATTAGTGCTGGTAAATTGATATTAGAGGAATCCTTGAACCGCGACTACCATTGCAATTCCAATGGACGTTGTGTATCGCACACATTGTTCACCGAATAGCTTCGGTGTTTGATAGGTGAACTCGATATCGCGCTAATGCATACGTCTGATTAGGAAACGGTTCGTTAAAGGATTACGCTCTACTCGTTATCGACGTCGCGCCGTTTCTTCTCTCTCTCGATGTATATTGTTAGATTCCGATGTTTAGTAATTTAAATAAAAAAAGTATAATTTTATTTTAATAAATTTTCTTATCGTTTTGCACTTGGAGCACATTTAAT